CACTGAAAACTAACGTTAGCCGAACCTAAAGGTAACTGTACACACGTGTGTCTAAAAACACCGATAAAGCTACAGTATTCGGTAACGTTTACGGTAGAAATGGAAGGCTACAGTTCAGACTTCTCTGCCGGTGGGGCTGGGGGGGAAAGTGGACACCGGGGCCATCATGGAGCAAGTTAAAGTGCAGATCGCGGTGGCTAACGCTCAGGAGCTGCTGCAGGTAAACCAATGGAGAAACATGCTAAGCTAACATGCTAACACTTCACTTAGTAGAGTTACGTTATGTAGATACATTTATTTGGGGTGTTATGAGCACCATTATGAGTCAAGTCACAACGTTTCATGAAGATATTGTAATGTATATGTTAATGAGGTAAGCTTGATAGAAACAGCAGTATGAATGGAATTGCTTTGACATAATGTAACATCAATGTGCAAAAACATTTAACCTTTAATCTCTTTAACCTAGGGCTGACCTCGACCAAATAATTTCCTAGTAAACTTTACATTGTGTAGACTTATCGATGACTTTGTTCAATCGAAACATTTGTAAGACTTTTCCAAAAGCAAAACTTTGAGGATGAGTTTCTTGGAATATAAGTCATTAAAAAAACTAGACTAAAACCTAAACAAACAATAAGTCGACTAAGACCTAAAACAGTAGAAATGTGTGTAGGGATTTTACCATTTCACCTACAGAAGGTCAACTACCCACCAACAGATGATGGGAACTGTCATCTGTTGGTAAGACATGATAATAAACAATGTGTTTGTGTTTCAGAGAATGACAGACAAATGCTTCAAGAAGTGCATAGGAAAACCTGGGAGCTCGCTGGACAACTCTGAGCAGGTGTGTAATGCTTTAAGATGTCAATAAAAGATATCTAGGAATTGACTGAAACCAGTATTCATTTCTCTCAGCTTTGATAATCTCAAAACAGGATCCACTGCTTTACTTTCATTTTCATGATAGTGAAAGGAATCCACAGATTTTTGACTGTGGGTCGGACAAGACAAGTAATTTTGTAATATGTCAACTAATACATTATAGTAGGGCTAGGGAATATGGAGAACAACAAATATATTTTGTTTATAGAATGCCTGTATTAATATTCTTAAAAATTGATATTGTAGGATTGACTATTGGTGCTTACAGAAATTAGACAAATGATAAATAATCATTAGTAATGTGGATACAATGCCTAAAGGTAAATAACAGAAGAGCTAGAATAGTCTTACCCCTAGATTCCACCGGGTCCGTCTGCGCCGCATTACGGCTGCGACGTGGTTTTGGTCCGACCTCCTCCAGCGTCATACCCCACCGGGCGCGTTTCAGAAGCGTTTCAGAAGCGGAGCGTCTTGCCTGCCGGCTCGCAGTTTTTGTTGATTTGGGCATATTTCCTGGACAGGCTACTTACAAAGTTCATAATAACTGTAATATTCCAGTTATAAACGACATGAATCAAAGATGTGTTGCTGTATTTTAGTGGTAAAAAAATGCATTCATCATCATCATTATTCTATATATAATTTACACAGTGCCTGTAAACCGGAGGCGAACGCTGGCATTTCTCCTCCTACTTGAAAGACTACGGAGGGATAGGGTCTGCAAAATTAGTTTATTTTGGGGATTGACTGGATGCTCTGACCGGTCCACTTCCTGCCCGGCGCTATGCAACGCCTCGCGTCGCGTCGAAAATAGACTTGCATCCTATTTTGAGTGGAGCTCGCGTCTGGTGGAATAGCACCCATTGACTAGACTAGAGTGTCCACGATCTTTGCGAACGCCGCGGCACAGCCGTAACGCGGCCGTAACTCGGCACAGACGGACCCGGTGGAATCTAGGGGTTAGTCAATTCAGAACATTACATCTCTCTACTGTAATGAACTCTTCATACCTTGAAATGAATACAATATCAAAATATAAGACGACACAAAGTCTTGTAACATGATATTGATGTTGTACTGATACGTTTGCCCAGCACAACATTATAGACCCAATTGTTTTTCAAGGAAATACTGAGCTGAATGATTTGTAAAAAAGAGGATGGTTTGTTGCATTCTTTTAAAATGATCACAATTTATTTTTAATGTGTCTGCTCTTGTCCTCACAGAAATGCATTGCCATGTGTATGGACCGGTATATGGACGCCTGGAACACGGTGTCCCGAACATACAACTCCAGACTACAGCAGGAAAGAGCTCGCATGTGAACGCCTCTCTCTGCACCCGTCCCTTCTTCCCTGCGCTGTTCACAGTGAGGAGCAGCAGGTGTGTGTCCACTGGAGGCTGCAGCTGTGCACACTCACAGGTGTGTGTGTGGCTGCAGCAGAACATCATCATCTTCATCATCATCATCATCATCATAATACCTCACAGACAGGCAGCAAAGCCGGTGGACTCGAGCCATAACAAAGTCTCTATGGACATTTTCCTTTTGCTCCGAGGAACTGTTATAAAGTTTGATTAAATGTGTTTTTATGTTATGAGTAATTAATCCTCTGGTTAATAAGTAAACATACATTGTTAAAACATGCACCTGCATACTTTGAAGAATTGGACCCTTTACATTTCCCGTTGGAGCGAACATAAGTGTGAATGTGTCTCCAAGTAAAACCTGTAATTGTCTGACCGCTGTCCAAGTGTACCCCATATCTCGAGCAGTGCATGCTGGGATATGTTCCAATAATGTATGCAGATTATAAAATAAATGTACTGTTTTGCAATCAGGGCTGAAACTCACACTTTGTTTTTTTCTAGATTAATCACTTGGTCTATAAAATGTCAAAATATTGAAAAAGTGCCATCCATTTTTTTTTTTTTTTATATGTCTTGTTTTGTCTAAAACCCAAATATATTTACTATATTATGACAGTACACAGTAAAGATACAATCTCCATATTTGAAGGGCAGTAAAACAGAATTGTTGCCACTTTTGCATTAAAAAGGAACAATTATCAAAGTTTCTGGGCGGTTATTTTCCTTTGGATAGACTAAAGTAGTCGACTAATTGTTACAGCTGTAGTTAGATTTTGGCACCCTTTAAAATCAGTCAACAGCAGCACGATGGCTTTTTGGAGCAACAATAACTAGGGATGTCCCAATCCGATCACGTGATCGGGGATCGGAGCCGATCACGTGATTTTCACGTGATCGGGGATCGGGAGAAAAAAATCGGGGATCGGAATTTTTTTTTTTTTTTATAAAATATTTTTATACATTTTATTTAATGTTACAAAACAAAAATGACCTGGTCACATCTTAAAGTCATCCTGAGGCCTTAGTTTTGGGTTAAAATGACACAACATCATGTATGTGTTGCTTCTTTTGGGCTTGTTTTCATAGACCTGGTTGCTTATTTCTCTCAAATCTGGCAACAGAGTGGGCGCAGTGTCTAATAGTAGCAGTAAGCTAACGAGAGGCTACGTTCAGCTGGTGACTCGGGAGTCGGGACAGAGAAAATGTCAGGAGTTTGGAAGTATTATAAAATTGAAAGCGAAGGCAGTGTAACAGCCAGATGCAATGTTTGCAAGGCGGAGGTTCCGCGTGGTGGAAAGAACAGAGCTACGTTCAACACGACCAATCTAATACAAACACCACCAACAACAACACGACGAGTACACAGCGGCCACTCAGGTAACGGCACTGAAACAACCGACACTTTCAGAGACTTTTAAAAGGAAAGAGAAACTGCCCCAGAACAGTGAAAAGGCCAACAAAATAACAGCCAAGATAGCTGAATTCATCGCGTTGGATGACCAGCCGTTATCTGTTACCTTTTTTTTCCTCTTAATGCATTGCATAAAGATCGGATCGGGAAAAATCGGTATCGGCAGATTGTCAAAATCAAATGATCGGAATCGGATCGGGAGCAAAAAAAGGTGATCGGGACATCCCTAACAATAACATGTTTTAACTACAGTGGGGCTTCAATGGAAACACTGACACCCTGCTGCCTTCCAATTGAGGTTAAATCTTTGTGTGCAAGAGTCTGTAAAATTGGGGCACATGATGATAACTGTAAACAGGACTTTCAATCGCCACAATAGCTCCATAAAACTGTGCTCAGTATGCCCATTATTTCATTGTGTTTATGCCCGGAGAGACTAAACAATTGTGCCAGGAGAACAAGCAGCACGACAATAATAACCCCCCCAGGCTTTCCTTGACATGCCTGTTTTCTAAAAGACCTACTTAAAATGAAAAAGGAAGACTTGTAGAGCAACTTGGTGTTTTCACAAGCGTGAACCTGACATTCACAAGCCTCCAAACAGACGGATATCAAAGTACGCCTGGAGAACAAAACTGTTTTGTCTGACCTGTTTTCTAGTTGTCACTCTATCTGCCCCCTCCACAGAGGTGGGCTTGTTTCAGGAGTGTGTGTGTGTGTGTGTGTGTGTGTGGCTTGTCAGATGTCTCGGAACCACAATCTTCCTTCCTTTATGTAGAGAGCCACTACAGCTACTTTCAGTGTGATTGTGAGAAAAAGGAACCATTTTCAAGAAGTAATCAATAAATCTCATCAACCCAAATCCTCTCTTGCATCCAAGTGTATCTACACCAACAAATAAACTAGGAATTTACCAAACAAACTTCAAATCCAATTCCAAAATATATTTTTCCCAGAAACCCACCTTTCACTCACAAATCTTACATTTACATATTTGTCTTGTTTTCTGGGAATATACAAAAAAAGGCAACCCATAATTGAACCACATATATTCTGAACCCCACGCAAAATGAAAATAAAAATGCACCATAAAAATCAAGTTTACCAATCAGAAAAATAATAAATAACTGAAATAAATATTTTGAATGCATGTGCTAGCAAAATGTCCATAAGCCACGACTCAGTGTTCTCCTTAAAGACGATGATAGTCCCAGTTCAGATGACCGCACAGTATTACAAACAGCACCAGAAGGTCACGTGGGTCAACACCGAGGAAACTATCAATGAGTGGCTTATTAGCATGACTTTAGTCCTTCATACAGTACATCTTTTAAGGAGATATTGTAGGAAAATCCTCTGTATCCGTGTCATATTTTCAGCACCTTTTTTTTCGCCTTCTTCAGAAAGGCAGGTATGTAGAAATCCATTTCCGGACCGACGTCGTACGAGTGTAAACCCCCGGGAAACCAATTCGACCACAGCCATGTCCCCAGCTGGTGATTCCGGCAACAAACCAGCGACCGGACGGCTCCCGGCAGGTCAGAGGGCCTCCAGAGTCTCCCTGGAGAACGGGAGAGAGTAAGAGTGTTAAAGGTCTCCTATCATGCTATTTTTAGGCATATATTATGGGTCTCAGATATACACAAATACATAAAAACATGTCTATGATGTGTTTTGCTCAAAATACCAAACAGATCATGCATTTTAGACATCGCTCATATCCCTCTATTCCAGCCCTGTTAGAGAAACGCTGATTCTGGGTCCTTAGCTTGAAAAAAAAAGAGTGGGACCTAATGCCTGCTCAGAATTCTACCGGTAGATACAGTTAAATTCTGCCGTGATTAAATGCCATATCATGTTCCAAACCACATCAAGGATTATTATTCTTTTACCTGGTTTATATAAAGGATATATATATATTTCTGAAACAATATCGAGCTGAAATCCTTTTTTTTTATTTTCTGTTTTTTTACACATTGTGGGTGTTTCTCAATGTCGAGGAAAGCTGCTCCAGAGCCACTATTTCAAGGATACTATGTCATCGAGTCCCGCCGAAGGACTGTTCCAATGTCCTGCATATTTGGAATTCTACCGAGGCCGGCGTACTTCGTTGCGGGAAATTTCGAGGCTGCACATGTGTAGACTCCGCGGTCTTAAAATCCCCACAATGCTTTGCGCACGGAACAATTTCCCAAATCTTTGGCCGAAAATGTAAGGCGCACTTGCTAGCCTGTTCCTTTCTTCATTTTCCGAGGCTAGGAGGTATTCTTGCCTCGCTTCTTAATTAAGGAACTCACTCGGAGGTACATGTGCTACCAAGCAAGCCTCCTCGACATTAAGAAACACACACTCTCTCCAGTACAGGTTAGCTCTGAGTGTTAGCGATGCTAATGTAAACAAAGACCATATTACGTCCAAAACACGTCAGGCATTGTTTCTGATAGCAACTTTCTGATAGTGCCGTGGGTCCACATTTCCGATATTACGTCATATCGGACGCAAATCTGGATCAGCTCCGTTGTACCCCCGTTTTTAGAGATTTGGGTACGGAGGAAAAGAGAGAGGGTTTTATTTTCTGACGCTGCGTGTATCATGCAAAAAGTGCATTTTGCATGATAGGTCCCCTTTAAATAACCTCCATGCACAGAGGTCTCCGGCATGTAAGGATGAATAAAATGATTAATTAAGGATGAGCAGGGAAGCAAAAGAGTGAGCTTCAGAGAGAATGTCACTTGGCTCGCTGCTGGGATGCCAGGTGCTTTGACCGAGACAGGAATGCACGAGGGTTTCCTTACATGAGAAGATTAAAGCGAGGGGAAAGGGGGCTGTGTATTTTATTTGGGAACATAGTCTACTCTCCGCAAAAGTACTGAAAGTGCAAAACATAAAATGCATCACGTATTTCCAAATTATGAATTAGAAATATGCTGATGACTCCTAGGAACATCTAAGAAGTTATATGCAACATTTACTTTTGCTCTGACAGGGTTAAGAATCCACTATAAAAACATATTTATTGGAGCCATAACCCTATTTTCAATTTCCTCTTAGCACTTTTTTAGATTAGATATACTTAATTGATCACAAATTGGACAGTTTTGTTACAGCAGCATATAAAAAAGGCATTGCACATGAATTGAAGACAATTCTGGTTCTGGTGAAATATAGTTCAAAATGTGTTCTCCCAGCTAATTACAAGATCTGATTTATCTAAATATCCCTTCTTATTTCAAGAAATCTTACCAAGCACATTTTCATTTGTTCTATTGGCAGATTGTTGTACTTATTTCAAGTGAAAACATCAAAGAGTCCTTCTCACCCAGCATGTGTCCCTTCCTCCCTCCATGTATCCGGCACACATCATGTTAGGAGTCAGAGCGTCTCTGTACGACTGTTTGCAGTCTGCCTGCTCGATGATGCTCACTGCAGCCTTCTGCAGCATGTTGGTCAACGAGCCTGGCAAAAAAATAAAGATTATATGAGTGGTAAATGCATTTTCACAAATACTTTAAATCTGATCATAACACCTGGAAACCTCCGGGTTTAAAAAGTGAAGCCAATGTGGAAAATGCCCCTACATCTCACTTGATTGTTTACATCAGTAAACACTTTTCTGATGAGTTTATGGTCTTAGTTGTTAGTTTTACATTGTTATCCATACAACAGGATGTCTATTTTGATAAAATAGACAATAAAGTGGGTATTTCTTTATGGTATGGCTACCTTGTGATGGACAGGTCGCTAAAACACAGTGTTGTCCAACTTTGGCCTCACGACTTTCACACTGAGTTTTCAGATCATAACAGTTAATCAAGAGAGCAATGGCCAATATGCCAAACTCAAGGCTTTACAATGGTAAGTAATACAGTGAATATATCTACCTCTAATATAACATATCTACTGTATGTTAAAACACAGTTTCTGAAGGGTTAGTTATACATTACATTACATTACATGTTACTTGTTAGATGCTTTTATCCAAAGCGACTTACATACTCAATACTGTGGGCAATCCCCACAGGAGCAATTTGGGGTGAAGTGTCTCAGGGACACAACGACATGCTGACTGCAGTGGGACTCGAACTTGCTACTCCCTGATTCCAAGTTCAGCGCACTATCCACTGAGCCACAGCCTCCCTTATAAATATAGTTTCAACAGAACAATGATTGTGTTTTCATTTATTGTATTGTATAGGTATGATGAGGCTGTAAGGGAGTTCCTCAGTACAAAACATCCTTATTATAATTTAACAAAATGTTTTTAGCCTCAAGTCTCTTTTATTAAAGGTAGGGTAGGTAACTTTGGAGAAACCAGCTCGAGATCGCTAGAATTTGAAAATACACAGCCTGAGAAAATCTGCCACTTCCTCACAGAGCCCCTCCTCCAACACACACGAACGCGTACATGACCAATGAGGGCACGAGATAAGTTTGTGCACAGATGGAAGGCTGACAGGCAGGTAGGCCATCCAGTTATTTTAGCCGGGCCGGCTCAGATGATTGGTCGTGCTTTTTACAGTACTACGGCTTCCACAGAGGACATTTTTTTATGGATTTTTTGTCAAAGCACTTCAGATATTCATTGCTATCGGGATGTTAAGAGCATTCCATGGAATATAACAAAAAGTGTATCTCGAGCCGGTTTCTCAAACTTACCTACCCCACCTTTAAGTCTTACCATTATTACATAAATAATGTGGCAGCTTTTGCTCCGTTGTTAACATTCCCTCCTGACAATGATGATTCTCCAGTTTTTTGTACAGTAGCATGTAACATTTTGATGCAATCATTAAATGCTTTCTATAACAATTATTGGATTTTGACTCTCTCACCTCCCTCCCTCATGGACCCCCAGCCTGTGACGTAGCACTCTGCCTCTTTGGGGAAGCGATGCACGGGGGAGGGGAGGCAGGCGGACTGGATGGTGTAGGACATGGGGGCTGGGACCACCAGCTCCAACAGAGCCACGTCGTGGTCCATGGTGGAGCCGTTGAAGGCCGGGTGGATGACGACCCTCTGGATGGGGATCACCAGCGCTCCGATCCCCGAGCGCAGCACAGACCCCAGACTCACGGCCCAGTTAGAGGGGCTGGCGTCACTGCGGAGGGGAAAGATAAAGAGTCAGTATGTATCTGGATGTAATAGAGCGGTGCAGTGATGACGTATTTGTGTAGGCCGACCCGGAAGTAAGCTGCTCGACAAAAAAGCAACAGGATTTCTCCATAGGATTTTGGAATATTGTAAAAAATAAGATCTGTGGAAAACGAACCTGTTTGATAAATGCACGTTTTGTTCAGCCGGATAATATCCACATGTCTACCCTACTTTTATAATGAATCATAAATCTAATCGCCAGAAGCAAAATGCTAACGTTATGCTATAAACGAACTACAGTCAAGTACAGCAGGGTCGCACGACTTCAACGTCACGGCAACTTAAGATCCATATTCAATAATACATATACAAAATGGTACGAGTTGAAGCGTTTGTTTGAACAGTTTGCAGGAGGCAGGTACTTGCTTTCAAGCAGAACAGGGCAAACAAATTTAGCGGGAGTGTTTACGTGTTCGGCGTAATGACGTACAACGTCCTCGACAACTTCTGTAGTCCTATTCAGCCACTTGTTAACAACCATCGTTTTTCAGACACGTAAACTCTTCAGAAATCACCAGTGGGGTCACTGCTGATGGATTTAATGTCGTAGAACAAAACGTGATGCGTCTCTTCAATTTGTGTCAACCACAGACCTTATTTCCAGCTGTTTTCCAAAAACACTCAGACTCTGAGACGAGGGAACCGGAAGTGGTAAAATGCTAACTCACTTCCGGGTTTTAGGAGTCGTTCCTGCAACACTCTATGGTAGACATGTTTTCCATAAAAACCAATACTTTTGTGGGCTATTCTACGTTTAGCAGTACCTTTTGAAGCAGTGTGCCGCAGTGATTAACCATTTGTTGTGAATGAGAGTGGCGCCACAGCGGTGCAGTCTCTTGTACTGCAGGCTGCCGATCCACGGCCACTCCCCCCTACGAGCTGTCACTCCTCCCACAATCCTTTGGGAGCCCAACGCAGGACGTAGGCCGCAGTCTGAAACAAAAACACTCATTACATTACATTTCATTAACTGAACCTTTCATCCAATGCAACTTAGAGAACATGCAATCAACCATGCAGATACAGACTTCTGAATCCTGCAATATATTATTTTCAGATAAGCCAAAACGTTGTAACCGTTTCATTTCTTTTTAATTGGCTAAGTTACATTGAACACAGGTGGGTTATTGGTTTATAACGGAGGATGTGTGGGCTTCCTGCTATACCCATGTCCAGCTTCATTAGCTTTCTTCTATAAAATGAACTCCTTACCACAGTTTCTCTCGTCCGCCTCGTTAGCGCAGTCTGAGACGCCGTCACACTCCGCGTTGACCTTGCCGATGCAGGCGGTGGCGCTGCACTGGAAGTTTCCACTGCAGTTCATGACTGCAACACGTGATGGACAGATCATAAAGCCTGAGATTTACACTTCAAAAAGTAATGAGTGCTGCAGGAATGACAACATTTGGTAGGCTAATCAGGAAGTTAGCATCGTACTGGTTCCCTCCACTAAACACAAATGAGATTCGAAAATGTCCAGAAAACAAACTCTGTGGCTGGAAAAAGGTTATGATCATTTTTGAAGTTATTTTCTATTGTTATTTTATTTTAATTACATTTTTAGTTGTTTCTATTTGTTTTCATATTTGTTTTAACTTAATTTTTATTACATTTTTTGTTTTTTTCATTCTAAAATGTAGAAACCGTCCCAAAACCCAATTTCCCCTGGAATCAAAACAAAATATTCCCGTAAATTAACAACACTTTTTTTTTTCGAGGCGTAAATCTCGTCACCACCGCTAAGCTAAACGTGGCTAATGTTCACTTTGATTGCGTTAGTAGTAGTATCATTTAACTTCATCACATTTCTCTTGGTAACTGATGAATGAGTGACCAATAGTTAACTAACCACACGTGAAGATGATTGGATAAGTTTAGTTTCATTTAGCTTATTTGCTCCTTGCTGTTAGTTAATAGTGGCAATTTTTACGAACTGATGACTGTAAACTTAGACTGTATGGTCCCAGTAGTGGAGTTGAAATGCTGTCCCCCATTTATTTGGCCCATTACACATAATTTACATGCAAGTAACTTTATAGCACAATTCGTTTTTCAAGTTATTTCTGGAAAATGCCATCGTGGAAAGTGTCCTAGCTAGACAGATATTTGAAATATCTCCCCAGAGATATGTGACCAATAGATTAGGCTGCTTTCAGTGTGACATTACCATTGAGTGTTGGTGCAGGGGTCACTTCCACAGCGGCAGTCCGGGGTACCGCTGGATGATTAAAGCCCCCCTCAGTCACAGTCACTGGTACAGTGGGAACAGACTGAGGGAAGTCAGGCACCAGGCTGGGGTCGGTGTGGCTCAGGATCCAGTTGCGGAGCTTTGTGATGCGAGAGTAGACCCCCGGCCGGTTGATCAGAGCACAGCCCACTCCCCAACTCACCACCCCAGCCAGGAAGAACCGCCCCGGGGCCCCCTCACACACCAGAGGCCCCCCAGAGTCACCCTGTGGGGGGAAACACAACATATCTGTGATTTTCCAATGTGAAACTGTTGTCCTGTGAAAAATGTGTTTTTACGAAGGTTCTGATACATTTTGAGTGATTCTATTTGAGTTGATTGATGGAAGACATTTGATTTCCAGGGTTTCATGTACAGTATAAGTAAATTGAACCTTATTGAAACGTATTGGACATCTTGCCAACAAGTAAGACAGTTTCAAGTCCCCAGCCTGGAGGTTGTTTAGCAAGAAAAACAGAAGTAGTGACTTAGTCGTTTTTTTTGTACTTAGTACCACTTTCTTCCAAGTGTGGTTGTAATAGCACAAAGCGTTCAGAAGATATGATTTGTTTTAAATATAAACCCTAGTCACTGCAAGGAACCTACATCATTATGTATATCACAAATCTGTAAAGGTAACTCTTTCTGGCTCGATCAAGAGATGTTCATGACAACATTTGTGAAAAGCAAAAGATTTGTAGTAACAAACAACAAAGAAAAAGACACAATTCAAAGAGATTGTCATTTTTTCCAATTCTGTATACTTTGGTTGGTTTTCCCGTAAAATATGTTAACAATTGAATCCGTATCGTGTTCACATGGGAGCTGGATTGAGCCTTTACTGGTGAAGGACGTCATGTTTTCTCACTGTTTTATTAACAGCACTCATATTGTTGTGCTAAAATAAAATGACAGCCTACAGTTCTCTATTTCTAGGACAGGACCAGTGTAAATACACAGTGTTTGTCCTACTTATACTTTAAAAATCATCAGTGTACGTAAACACACTCTGCCCTGAGGTAAGAAAGCATTGTCAGAGGATGAAAGATGATATCTCTTCATCACGCGATCCAGGTGGAGCAGCACTGACCTGACAGGAGTCCACCTTGCCCTGCAGGAAGCCGGCGCACATCATGTTCTGAGACACTGCTCCTCTGTACACCGCAGACTTATTGCACACTTTGGAGTCGATGATCTTCACCACCGCCTTCTGCAGCACGGGAGGAGCCTCCACTAAAATACAGAAGAGACACGACATATACAATTACTCGTACTGATTATAATAACATGCATTATTATGTCTTATGCACAATTTTGTTTCTTTTTGAAGTTTTCTGTATGTTGGAGGAACCTGGGAATAACTCCGATTTATTCCAGAATGCAGTCTCCATTCATTTTCTCTCCATTGAATGCCTTGCTTAGTTTTAGTATTCGCATTAGAGCTGTACAAATGTATTGTTGGTCATTTTTAGCCTCTTAAATATGAAGATTTCCTTCCTTTCGCTGTTTTATATCACAATAAACAGACAATATTAGGATTTTAGATATTAAAAGACATTGTCTTGGACTGGACAAACTGGAATGGACACAATTCTTTATTTTCTGACATTTTAAAGCCTAATAGTTATAAAAAATTGTAGTAGATTGAAGCACCTAATCCAAAACATTTTTGTATAATTCTTATTTTTTAACCTCAAGGAACAAAAACTCACACGACAGCTAAAACAGTCTATCACAAAATATGTATTGATTTCGTAATATTTGGTACCAAACATTTCAGAAAGAGTTCCTTTTCACTCTAAATGTGATGGATGAATTCCTGCAGGTATGACATATGACTGCTTTCTTGGACAGATAATCACAACATATATTTTATCCCAATTCCAGTTGAGATCAAATCAGAATCAGTATTTAGATTTGACTCTAATGATAGTATAGGTTAGGATTGGGACATGTGGAGAGAAATGTGATGACATGCAGCAATTACTGGTCAATAAAGGTTAGATGAATTAAAGCCAGACTCACGGGTGTACATGTGCAGGGCCCCCCAGCCGGACACCATGCAGCTCTGCCCGGGGGAGAACACGTGAGACAGGGAGGGCAGACAGACGGGCTGCACGTAGGAGCTGAAGGTGAGGGGGGTCTCCAGCTCCAGCACCGTCACGTCGCTGTCCGTGGTCATCAGGTTGTAGTTCGGAGACACCACCAGAGACTTGATGTTGATGATCTTGGACTCGGACTCTTCTCCGTTCACGAGTCGCGCTCCGACGAGGGCCGTCCACTCTGAGGGGTCGTCGTCCCTGGAGACAGAGAGAAAGAGATGAGGAGATTTAAGAAGGTCCAATCTGTAAGATATGGTCAATGGAAGTTACATTTATTTTAATTAATTTCTATTGTTATTTTATTTAAATTACATTTTTAGTTGTTTTTATTTGTTTTAATTTTTGGTCTACAAACTACATCATCCTGAGGTTAGTGGCACTGTTAAACCAAAAACTTAAACTTAAAACCATGGGCTTGAACCACACGTGAAGATGATTGGATAACACAGTTTAGTTTCATTTGGCTTATTTGCTCCTTGCTGTAAATTAATAGTGACAATTGTTTTAATAACTGATGACTGTAAACGTAGACTGTATGGTCCCAGTATGGCGTGGAAATGCTGTCCCCTATTTCTTTGGAGCATTACACATAAAATACATAATTTACATGCAAGTAACTCAATAGCACAATCAGTTTTTCACGTTATTTATTAAAAATGCCATCGTGGAAAGTGTCCTAGCTAGACAGATATTTTCTCCTCAGTGATTTGTGCACACGGCCTACCTCTCGAAGCAGTGGGCGGCGCTGACCAGCCAGCGCTCGCTGATGATGGAGGCTCCACAGGTGTGGCGTCCGTGCAGCCGCAGACTCACCTGCCAGGGCAGCTCCCCGTGCCGGGCGTCCTCCCCCCCCACCACCCGACTGCCCATCGCCGGACGAGTACCACAGGCTGAGGAGGAAGTCAAGAAGTCAAGAAGTCAAGAAGTCAAGAAGTCAAGAAGTCAAGAAGTCAAGATTTCAAGATTTCAAGATTTCAAGGCTTTTATTGTCATTTGTACATAGCTACAGATGTAGTGATAGATAGATAGATAGATAGATAGATAGATAGATAGATAGATAGATAGATAGATAGATAGATAGATAGATAGATAGATAGGTAGATAGATAGATAGATAGATAGATAGATAGATAGATAGATAGATAGATCGATCGATCGATCGATCGTTAGATAGATAGATAGATAGATAGATAGATAGATAGATAGATAGATAGATAGTTGGATAGATAGATAGTTAGATAGATAGATAGATAGATAGATAGATAGATAGATAGATAGATAGATCGATCGATCGATCGATAGATAGATAGATAGATAGATAGATAGATAGATAGATAGATAGATAGATAGATAGATACTTTATTTCATCTCCTCTCGCCTGGACTACTGCAATGGAGTTCTGTTCGGGGTCACCAGCAAAGCCCTGGACAGGCTCCAGTACGTCCAGAACTCTGCAGCCAGGCTCCTCACCCGCACTAAGCCCTGGCAACACATCACCCCCACCCTCATCCACCTTCTCTCCCCTCTGCTATCAGGAATGCCGACTCCCTGGACACTTTCAAACAAAAACTCAAACACCATCTGTTCACTCAGGTCTTCGGCCCAGCTAAAATGCAGTACCCAGTAACCTGTTTTTCAACCTGTGTATCTGTGTGATTATTATTATTTGTTTTGTTTTGTTATTTTATCTCCCATTGTAAAGCGTCAAATTTCCAGTAACAAATATAATGCAGGATATTATTGTGCAAGAATGGATTATTCAATATTAAAAAGAATATGAATGTAAAAAAGTGGGATTTTAAGTCCAGTTATTAAGAGACGCTATGGAGCAGACAGTTCTCTTCCGGCCAGAGGTGATTTATTATAGAGAGTTGATTATGATTATGACAATGAACATCTGAGGTCACGGGCTCCTCCAACAGCGCAACACAATAAAACAGATAAAATAGTGCAAGTAAATAAAATAAAATAGAATATAGTAGAAATAGTGCAGAATAGTCTATATACAAGTAATTGGAATATATATAAGTTGTAAACAGATTAATGTTATGGATGTTCTTTCAAAAGTTCAGGTGTTTAACAGTCTTATGGCCTGTTTTTTGTTACAGGTATGTCACATTAACAATATGACCATCAGTGCCAGTGCATTGTTTTGGAAGAGTATTAGTTTGAAGTGATTTACCACATCGGACTTCATCAGATGCGTCGTCACAGTCGGGGGTGAAGTCACACTCTGGATTTAACTTGGTGACACACTCTCCATTATCACAGGCGAACGTGTTGTCAGGACACCTGGCTGCAGAGCACGGGTTAGAGAGACATGTAGAAGATCAGAGGCACAGAAACATGTCTTCATAGAGAGAGCCTATAGCAGCTTTCATACAGGTGAGTGCAGTTCAAAGTGCCTTATAGGTGAGTGACGATGAACATAGGACAACTGTGGACCATTAATACAACACAAAAGAAAATTACTTTCCTGTAATGCAGACTTTAAATCTAGGATATTTTATAAACACAACTCTGAATTTGCCAAGCCCCACTCCTCAAAATGCTTTCAAATGATCTCTCTCATTGTTACTTTTTCTTAATCTCCAATGTTTTCTTAACTCTTTCGTTCGTTTTTTGATAATATGTGAGTCCCGGGTTGTTTGACTTTGAAACATACATGTTCTTACTCTTGCTATATTACATTATTCAGCATAAAAGGAAATACAGTCTCATATCACAATATCAATATATATATTTCCCAGCCCGACTATATATTACATAAGCATAAAAGCCAAAGAAAAGAGCTTTTTTTAAACTATATTTTTGACAGAAAAGCATTTTTCTCTGTGACACTACATTACATGTCATTTGTTAGACGCTTTTATCCAAAGCGACTTACATACATTCAGTACTGAGGACAATCCCCACAGGACCAATTTGGGGTGAAGTGTCTTGCCCAGGGACACAACGACATGCTGACTGCAGTGGGACTCGAACTTGCTACCCCCTGATTCAAAGTCCAGCACTCTAAACACTGAGCCACAGCCGCCCCATATACATTACATGTCATTTGTTAGACGCTTTTATCCAAAGCGACTTACATACTCCATACTGTGGACAATCCCCACAGGAGCAATTTGGGGTGAAGTGTCTTGCCCAGGGACACAACGACATGCTGACTGCAGTGGGGTTTGAACCTGTGCCCACCTGATCCGAACACCAACGCACAAACCACTGCACCACACGCCTCCCTACTATCCCCCATGATATTAAAAACACAACTCAAAACACTATAAAATATGCTCAGGTAGCTTTAACATGCATCTACATATTCACTCACCATTCATCTCATCTCCAATCGAATAGAACGACTTCCCACTGGCTCCTGGGAAGAAGGAGAAAGACACACATTAGATCCTGTGGGTTATTTTTGTCTCTTCCACACGCAGGACACAGTGACCTGATGACGGTCCAGGTTTATTACCCAGTAAGATGATAGAGTGGATCTCTCCGAACCCCGGCACCTCCAGAGGTTGGCCGTGCATCACTGATCCCAGGCCAGCTCTCAGCAGGTCCTGGACAAAGCCGTCGGAGTACTGCTGAACTTTGGAGACCCTGAAGGCCAGCCGGAAGGTCGCCATCACGTCCTCGTTAATGTTACTGCAGAGCATGGTGGGGAGTAGTGGAGTACAAATACTTTGTTACTGTACTTAAGCACATCTTTCTGGTATCAGTACTTTACTCCACGACTTTTTACTTCTTACATTTTGAACACAAATACCTGTACTTTCTACTTCTTACATTTTGAACACAAATACCTGAACTTTCTACTTCTTACATTTTGAACACAAATACCTGAACTTTCTACTTCTTACATGTTGAACACAAATACCTGTACTTTCTACTTCTTACATGTTGAACACAAATACCTGAACTTTCTACTTCTTACATGTTGAACACAAATACCTGAACTTTCTACTTCTTACATGTTGAACACAAATACCTGAACTTTCTACTTCTTACATGTTGAACCCAAATACCTGAACTTTCTACTTCTTACATTTTGAACACAAATACCTGAACTTTCTACTTCTTACATGTTGAACACAAATACCTGAACTTTCTACTTCTTACATTTTGAACCCAAATACCTGTACTTTCTACTTCTTACATGTTGAACCCAAATACCTGTACTTTCTACTTCTTACATTTCCCAAACAGGCTGGTTCCTTTAGTTTGAATGTGTGTTTGGTGGCGTGATCATTATTATTTAGAGTCATTGCGTGCCTATTGATTTGAACACGATCCGTGTATCCATCATTTCCTGGTCTTCTCTAAAGAAGAGGGACCAATGAAAACGTTGTCATGTTGCCGTTGTTCAGCATGGAAACATTCATTAGCTAACAATGACATTATTGTTCTATTAATATAAAGGGAGGTCAGGTACTCTTTAAAACAGCTGCTAGTTATGGGTACTTTTTACTGAAGTACATTTCAAAGCCCTCTTTACTTTTACTTGAGTAAAGAAGTTTAGTAAGTACTTCTACTTTCACCAGAGTATTTTTAAACACGAGTATCTGTACTTCTACTTGAGTAAAGGATGTGTGTACTTTTGTCATCTCTGCTGCAGAGACACAGACGCAGTTGTTTGTTTAACCAGATAACAATTAGCCTTTTAAGACATGATATGGGCATACATTACGAAATGAAACACGGTGAAAACTAAAATACATCAGAAAAGAGAAACAAAGAGAGAAAGAGATATAGAAAACAAAACTGATGAACAATATTTCAAAGTATGACGTTTTTACACTGTATACATTTCTACTACTACCTACCTTGTGTTTTCAAAATACTGTTCATAGTGTTTTTATACCCATCAATAGTTCATACTGTATCTAGTTTTGCTTTTTTATATCTGTCATATTTATATTCGTACATTATACCTATACATTACAATGCACTGCTTCTTTTTGGTAACTTCTGATCTGATGCTAAGTACATTTTGTTATTCCAATACATTTACTATAAAGTTGAATCTAATCTAATAATGGATACATCATTAATTCTAATTTCATGGTTATTTATTTTCTATCTATTTTCATTCATTTTACAAAACCTTTCCATTTCGAGTTTATTAAGTTATTAACTTTTAACCAATTTATTGTAAAGTGTTTGATCATTGCTTCTTTTATGACGAGGTACAGGTAAGAATAATTATTTTTCATTTCTTCTGGTGTTTTATCAAGTAGTAGGATAAGTGTGTCGTACGTATGTTTATGTCTTGAGCTTAAAAGGGAGACCTGGAAGCCGACAGAAAGCCCTCGAAATGTAGATTATGTCATTAATCTACAACTACTAATACATCATTAAATCAAAAAACTATTTCCACTTTAATGTTTCCTACCATAGCTCAGCTCTCACTCACCCATAGGCAACAATACTCCAATCAACGTAGTGATTTGATATGGACGAGGCAGAGAAGACATTTCTAATCTGGAAGAAAGTAAAAAAGTACGATTAACAACAGTTTTAAATGCACGTGTGGGCTCTAGACGAGGTGACAGGTTGCACTGACCTTTGACTTTAAGACTGAGGTCAGAACGATGGAGAACGCAGAGTTCTCGTCCTGCAGAGACTGGTTGTACTTCAGACCCTTCAGCTCCACTGTCTCCATGAAGTAATGCTGCTCCTGCACCATGTAGCCTGCAAGAGGAAACAATCAATCCTTCACATCATAAGTAAGATGTTATGTTTTGTTTAGTTTTTTGTGCTGTGATTTCAACCATATGTATATTCAAGTATATATATTCAAGTCCATCTTAAAGGACAGAGAACAAGAAATCATTGGTAGATGTGAGTGCTCGTATATCCCAAAATTGAAGTCGTTTGTGGGTTGTGTGTTGGTGGGTTGTGTGTTGGTGTTCGGTTCAGGGGGTCACAGGTTCAAACCCCACTGCAGTCAGCATGTCGTTGTGTCCCTGAGACACTTCACCCCAAATTGCTCCTGTGGGGATTGCCCACAGTATTGAGTATGTAAGTCGCTTTGGATAAAAGCGTCTAACAAGTAACATGTAATGTAATGTAATGTAATGTTTAATGATTTTTAATAGTTTCTTTTATTTTGGATATTGACTGGCTAATGTGCCATTTTATTTGTGTTTTACCGCTGTATTTGTCTACCTGTATTGTCTGTGTTTTATCTGTTGTTAAATAAAATGGACAACCGTATGTGTTAAGAAAAATGAAAATAAAGTTATTTTTTTAAATAAAATTAAGTAAGATATTATGACTCTCTCCTTGGATATAGTATTTTTCTATTTGACTGTACGTACTGTACTGTAGCTGTCTGTCTTTGTATGCACCATTTACACCAAAACAAATTCCTCGTATGCGTAAACTTACTTGGTAATAAACACAATTCTGAAGTTTAGAAATAGCTTATCATAGAAAAGTCTAATTTAGTGATTCTCAAAGCAAGAGAATTTGCTTCCTCATTGAAAAAAGCAAACCTACAGATTGAGACATTTTATGCCAAATAGACAGGTTTAGTGTGAATCTGAATGCTTTGTCCACCTCTGGTTATGAGAGGATCCATCAAACGACTCACCAATGAACAGGCCTACAAACACCCCGATGAGGAGGAAGAAGAGGAGGAAGGCGATGACGGTGCTCCTGTAGCAGGCGGGGCTGGAGGAAGCATCCTTCTTCGCCTCCATGTTGGAATCACAACACCAACCTCACAACTCTCTGACCACTGAACCCTGCCTCATAACGCCTGACACACAAATGATCCAGTCCTGGTAGAACACACACAATACAAATACACACATGTATATTACAATATGGGAGTTAGAAGAAGTACACACCCTTTACTTAAAGAGGCCCTATTCTGCTTTTGGGGTTTTCCTTTTCTGTAGTGTGTTGTTATATAGGTTTTAGTGCAGGTAAATGGTCTGCAAAGGCTACAATCCCGGTGTTCGCTCCACACACCGCCCCCCCTGCTTGAAAAGCCTCCATTGGACTCCTTTGTTTACTTCTGGAACAAAGTGATGTCACAATGTAACACTCGTGCTTCCATTGGTTAGCGCACCAACACATTGTACGTGATAGGCTAAGGGGCGGGACATCTCTAAACTGTGGACCCATGGGCGTAATTTCCACTGGGGACAGTTTCAAAATCCCGTTTGTGTCCCCCCCACTTTCCAAATATGTTTATTATTTATTTTGTACGCAAGCGGTCACGGAGGAGCACACAGCGTCTGTGTGTGTGTGGCACGAGCGTATTTTGTGTGAGTGTGCGAGCAAGAGAGAGCAAGAAAGAGAGAGAGAGAGAGAGAGAGAGAGAGAGAGAGAGAGAGAGAGAGAGAGAGAGAGAGAGAGAGAGAGAGAGAGAGAGAGAGAGAGAGAGAGAGAGAGAGAGAGAGAGAGCGAGAGAGAGCACACCAGTTACGGGGGTTGTTGTTAGACTCTGGTGCTAGCTCGGAGCTAACGGAGATTAGAAGCTGTTTCAACAATAAGGAGAGGGAGAGTCCTCTCCTGTCGGACTGAGAGAGATAACGTCAGCTTAGGTGAGGTAAAGGACTCCTGAGTGATTAGATTGTAAACTTTAGTCTAAGTTATCTCAGTGGGTCTCAAACGGTTTGGTCATCTATGTAAACAAATATGTCCATCTATTTAATATAGTTGTACAAAATACAAGGACCCCCTGTTTTGTGTCCCCCCCACTTCTCAAACCAAAGTTACATCCTTGTGGACCAATCACAACAGAGCCGGCCAGCTAACCAATCAGTGCAGACTGGGCTAAATCAAACAATTTGTGATTTTTAATGCATTACACTATGAATTATGTATTGTGTTCAAACAAACAACACTACTTAAATAACATAGTTGGTTCATCTTCTCACAAAGTCAATAAATACTGAAATATATTTAGAATTCTACAATGATGCTTAGGGTGTTCCCAAAATGTAAGAAATACAGTCCCAGTATTCATATAACCAAAACAATCGAAATGTAGCTTACTGGCTAGACATTGGTTATTTCAGATCAAGATGCACATTTGACAAAATACCGGGATAATGAGTATAAAGCCGTGAGGAATAAATACACAAAAACATTTAGCAGTGATTGTGTTCGGTGGAGCTGGCTGAGGTTGTGCGTAAAAGAGACCACGGAAGCCATGTTCCTGCCTGGCGATCTCACAATAGATATGGACAAACGCCACACTAAAACAACACAAGTTACCTTCCCCTTAAAGTCTGCAGATAAAAGAATACTAAAGGAATCACTCGACTCAGAGAGAATATTCCCCGCACCAGTGAATTACGCACGGATGTCGCTCTAGGTGCATCCCAGCGTGGAGCATTAAACAATACAGGCTTTATGTCCGCAGGTAAACTCACTCACCTCTTTCTTCTCTCCGGACACATCCACGGTCTCCCACAGTGTGTGACACAGGAGCAGATGACCTGGATGGAGGACAGAGGTCCGCTATTTGTTCCAGCTGCCCGGGGGCGTGCCGCAGGTGGATCCCCGTCCGCAGTTTACTTTAGCAGGTCGGCTCGGCTTCACAAATCCCCGGCCGACCCTCCTCCCATCCTCGGGCCTGATCCCCTTCGGTTACACCCCGGTGTGCTGAGGCATTTTCTCCTGACTCCTGTCACCTCACAAGCTCTGCCATAATCTCCAAGTAAACAACAAACATGGGTTTCTCCTTTTTTACGCAACGTTGTAAAAACATGGAGGAAAGTTAAGGAGCATGCAACATGTCCTGAGTGTTTGCAGCCTGCCTGTGATCCAGATCCACAGTGAGTGGTCACAGAGGAGGGGCGAAGCTTGCTGGAATTCTGCACTACACCTGGCACCACATCCGGGTCCTTTTACCTGGATCACAGTCCCTAATCTGCCATTACTGCGAATGTATTACACTTCTGCACTTAAGTAAAAGTGAGAGGAAGTGAGGTAAGATAAAGGCTTGCTGGCCATTAATTAAATACATTTACTCAAGTACTATACTTAAGTACAATTGTATATGTATATATTTATTCCACTATATATTTATATATGAAAACATAGGCTACCTAGAGATTTAGCTGCTTCCCTCGTGTGTCCCCTCCTGTAAAAACCAACAAAGGTGACAGTAGTTATAACTACACATCTCTCCATCAGTGTGCAAAGGCTTCAGTGGATTTCTTTTACACACACTACCTTTATCCATTGAAACACTTTAAAGTCGCAAGCAAACACTTCTGTTCTTCTGAAAAAGTGGACGAGCTGCAGCCAATCAGGTGGATTGTCCACAGAATACCATTACATGTTAAAGAAGTCCCTGGACTGGTCTGCAATAGTTGGCCAGTGCTATGAAGTGAATGACGTGATCTACTGGTTAGTGTGATTATTAAAGGGCCGCATGTGTACATTTTCAGCAGCCAACTCAAGGTGAATTGTTTTAATATTTACCTCCACAAATTAGGTGACATTTTGCAAGATTCAGGATTCTTACACCTTTTCCAAAGTCAAATTCAAGCACTTTTCAAGCATTTTTAAGGTGCATTTCAAGCTTATCAAGAATCTTACAGCTGTTGTAAATTACATATTTATATACACATACTTATCCTCAAATGATTATTTCCCTACCTCACATTAAATCAGACGTTCTTTATGCTATAAACAACCAAATGTGTGTTTCGTGATAGCATTCTACATGAGGATGATAAATTAAAGAAAAAGAAAACAAAGTGTAATATTTCAAAATGAGTGACCCATCTGTAAGTAGACTGGGCATCCCATATAGAGAACCGCAGTGACGCATCCTAAAACCCGGAAGTAAACTTCTTCCGGTTCCTTCGACAAAAACGCAATGCAATTTCTCCATAGGATTTTGGAAAATAGCTGGAAATAAGGTCTGTGGTTGAGACACAAACCTGTTAAGCACCAAGCCTGTTTTTCATGTTTCAGGCTCGAAAATGACATGCCCAAAACAAATGACTACAACTTAACTTCTAAAAGGGTTATATGAATGATTTATTTTATCAAAGCAAGGTTACATCTGTGAGTTGGATGTAGAGGTGTCAGAATCAATATAGATGTTTTTTATTTTAAAGAAAATTTAGATTTTACATAGTAAAAAACTGTAAATTATAGTGTCCGTCCAAAAATTCTTTTTTACTTATAGTGAAAACCACCCTTGGATGATGGGTTAGTAGACTAAAAGCTCTAGGAATCCAAAGTACAACATATAATAAGTACCCTGTATCAAGATTGATGCAAAACAAGTGACATTTGACCTTTTTAGAGAGGTTTAGCCAAAATCACTCCACCTCTGAGGTGATTTGGGTGAAAATGTTTTTTTTTCCATATCTCTGGCCCCCCTTGGTCGATTTGGATGGTTGACACCTCTTTCTGACCGTTAGAGCCAATAGAATCGAAGGGGGAGTCCCCCACACACACACGTTGTGAAGAGAAGAGGTGGGGGCTTCGCGCATGTAATTTAGCATCAGAGTGGACCTATCTCTAGCTCTGACATTTGGAAACGAAAAAGCAGTTTTATTGTTTATGGATTATCAGAAATCATTTCAAAGAGGGCACAGACACATTGGATTAACCTATGGATTAACTGCAGCATCGTTTTTTTATCGTTTTAATGCCATTGAAGACCAGTTTTGACCAAGGTAAGCCATGTTAGCGTTTCTAGCTACCTAGCTCCACATGTTCTGATGTACGCTTTCGTTTATAGCGTCGCAAATGTTTATCACTGAGTGTTGAGGTTTTTTACACAGATTCTGTGTCTCCAGGAGATGCTAATCGATGGGTTGGCTGTGCATCTAGGATAAGTAATAAGGGAGTTATGAGTGAGTTTAGGTGCCGTTTTAGGTTACATTTTTTCGCTCGTGGCTAATTCAGAGGCTGAGTGTTAGCATTGTGGTTGTTTTTTGGATTTCTTTTTTTAAAAGATCAGTTAGCTGAGTTTCTTCCCGTTACATGGATATAAAACATTCATAGTTTATTAAATATTAAGATTCCTTAGACGTTGTTTCCTGCAAATGACGCGTTTATCCGCCCGGTACCGGGGGGGCGGTGCGTAACAGGTTAAGAGACGGATCACGTTTTGTTCAGCCGGATAATATCCACATCTCTTATAATTTTCTAATCATAAATCTATCGATCATAAATCTATCGATTAGATTTATGATTAGAACATTATAAAAGTAGGGTAGACATGTGGAGATTATCCGGCTGAACACAACGTGATCCGTCTCTTAAATGTGTCTCAACCACAGACCTTATTTCCAGCTATTTTCCAAAATCCTATGGAGAAATTGCACTGCGTTTTTGTCGAAGGAACCGGAAGAAGTTTACTTCCGGGTTTTAGGACCCGTCACTGCGGTTCTCTATAACCTGGCTGAGCCAATATACAACAATCCGCCATATAACTTTTCAATACATTCTTTATTAACATGTTGAAGGTCCTTAGGTTGGCAGTAAACATAAGGCTCTCCCAGGTTAGGCCAAAGGGGGCATTATATGCACACATATACTGTATAAACTCAAATGTGAATTTTCCTTCACATTGAATCAGCAATCAGAAATTATGCAAATCAAATCAACTTTCAATCAGTCTTTGAGCTCCTTGAGTTGAAAAAGCAAACAGAAAACCTGCACAGAACACTGCACTGAATCATTCAAGGTAAGGCTAAACAGCATACGGCCTGTTAGGGAGTGTCTTTCAGTTCCTTGAGTTTGTCCGTTAGCTGTCTCTCCAAAGTCTCCAGATGTCTTTCCTTTTCCTTAGCAGCTCTTCCAAGGCCATTGGGCTTGGAGATGAAGCTTAGTTTTCTTTTTTATGCAACTGTGTACTACTTCTACTCCACTACAATTCAGAGGTAAAGGTGTACTTTGACTCCACTACATGTATTTCCCTTTAGTTACTTTACAGATGTGGATGAATGATGTGAAATATAACCAAGTGTTAAATCAGACTTTAGTTCCACCTGGAGTAAATTCACAAGCTACCCTGCAGTATACAAAGTCATTCAAACTAGCTGCAGCTTTACCAGCTTTTTTTTTTTTTTTCAAAATATTTTTATTCACATGGAAAAAAAGAGTAACAGTGCATTACAGCAATTAAGGCATTTTCATTTTCCCCCCAAAAGAACCCTTACTCACTTTCCCTTAACCCCGCCCCATCCCAACCACCCCTCCCGGAGCACTGAGGCAACAGTACATCAATTACATACAAAATGATAGATACAATAATATACATGCACATACACATACCTGCATACATACATACATGTACACATACTAACACATATCCAGGGATGTCACACGGGCTGCATGTGTGGCGGACAGGGGAGTAATCATATCGGAATTAGAGACAGATAAAGGGAGAATCCCTACAGCGACACCATATCAGGGGGAAGACGGTCTACATAGCTGATCAGTGGCCTCCAATGAGCGTAAAACTTATCTGAGGAACCCCGGAGAGTCAACTGAATTTTTTCCAACTTTAGAAGAGACATAGTATCACTCAGCCACATTTTAAAAGAGGGAGGTAAAGGAGATTTCCACAAAAGAAGGATTTTCCTACGAGCAATCAAGGAGGTAAAGGCAATGACATTGGTTTGAGTGTTTGTAATGTTGATTTCATCTGGGGGCCTACCGAAAATAGCTATATGAGGGGATGGAGAGATGCTACCTTTACCAGCTTTGAGAACACTTTAATGATCAATCATTATAAAACATATCATATATATTATTCTGAAATGGAGCCTCAGTGACCTTTGAGATATAACCCTCTTTCAATCCCAAGAAAACATTCCTCATCAAAGACACATTCACCTCCGACAGACTTTCACTTGTGGACTAGAGTGATCCTGTGGATGAACTCAAGAAACACTATCTCCGCCTACAAGGCCTTCCCCTTCCCTCTTTTCCCAAAGTGCAGCCTCTCCTACTAATAGGTGCAGATAACTTCCACCTCATTACCCCAACCAAAAGAGTCTCTTTGGGTCCACAGGGGGCACCAATAGCCCTCCAGCTAGGTTCAAATACTCCAGATCCAAGCGCCCCTCCAGTCCAGTGGACCCCCTTCCAGCAGCTCATTGACCGGCTCCTGCGTCCCACTCTCAGTATGCAGATATCCGGATGACTACATCGTTCAAAGTGAGGTGTTGGGGCAGGTAAAGGCGGGGCTCCAAGCTAACCTGAAGAAGAGTGAGTTGGGGTATCTGGGGTCGATGGAGTCTCCTCTTTGGTGCCGGGATGGGTGGGAGGTGGTGGTAGGTAGCAGCAGGTGTATGTGCAACACATCTTTCTTCTTAAGAAAAGCTTTAAGTACAATTGATTGTTTTTGTTCATTTCATATTGAGGAGAGCCAACAGGAAGTCTCTCATCAGCTGCAGCCTTCTTCTTTATTTTCCAAAATGCCTCCACGCTCCTCTTCACGTCTCAAACTCGCCCCGTGATGAATAAACTGAGAACAAAGAAAACCTGAGCTTACAGATTTGTCTGGAACACCAGAAAAACGTGTTGAAACCTCAATAAATAAACTTCACACGGTACGACCTCTCACCTTTCTGTGTGTCTTCACTTCCTGTCACCTGAGAGGAGAAGGAGAGAGAGAGAGAATAATGATGATAATTAAACAAAGAGAAACAGCCAGAATGATGAAGAGAGAAAGAAGAGTGTTGTTTTCCTCTGAGGTCATGCTCCATTAAAGAGTTTCATATCTTGATGAATGGAGGATATGGTTTCAGTACTCACAGGTCTTCTGGATTGTGGCTCTGATCGTCTCTCCTCTGATCCTGTAGAGATGAACACAATCCAACAGTTTAAGATCCAGTTTAAAATAAGTGTGTGTTCTTTGAGTCAGCTTCAGAGTCCTGATCTCATGCTTTACATCCCATCATATCTTCTCTGCAAACACTACGACTGCCTGCCACAGCTCTCAGCTGCATTACAGGAAGTAACCACTCATTGGTCTAGATTAGGGGGGTCCAAACTTTTTTCACCGAGGGCCACATACAGAAAAATATATAAAGGTCTGGGCCGCTCTCTAGAGGTATGTTGCCTCATAAGTTCAGTTATAAGTCAGGAAACTCAATCAAATGAAGGTAAAGGATGCTTGTTACTTGAGGATGCTTTAAGAAACAAAACAGCTCTCAGCTCTCCAGAGGGTTTACTGTATTCTGTTAGCAGCTCATTCCTTTAAACAGGAGCTTCAGATTGATTATAATTACAGGAAATATGAAGGGTTTATTTCACGCTTGTTATAACAATAAGTTATTGGGCTTTTTTCTTATCAAGTTAGATTTGTTAGGAAATGTTTTCAGCTTTAATTGACTGAGTTTATTTTAAAGGTGGGATTATTAACACATGAATACTACTGTGTAATATATGTGTACATATATATTTAAGAAGTACAATATAAGACAAGCAGAAGTTTCCTTTGTGGGACATATTCCATTATACTTCAGAATTGGCCGAGGGCCGCTTTTGGCCCCCGGGCCGCAGTTTGGACACCGCTGGGCTAGAAACTAAAAACATCCCATAAGAACAGACTACCTTTCCCACTCTTCTGTAAAACCCCATATGTCTGTTAGAGAGTTGATTACTAAAGTGTGGCTTTGCATGTTCAGCTAGCCTTCTATAGTTGATGGAAGAATGAAAGAGCCTGCAGTCAGTGGGTAACATCACTGATCTGTTTCCCCAGTGAGAGAAACACCTCCCTGTGGTTCATACAATACTGCTGAACCAGCAGAGACCCCTTACTGACCTGAGTAGCTCCAGTTTGCAGTCTGGACTCTCCACAAGTTCTCTCAGCAGCTTCACATCTGAACCCTTCAGATTGTTGTAACCAAGGTCCAGCTCTCTCAGATGGATGTTGGACTTCAGAGCTGAGGCCAGAGCAGAACAGCTGATCTCTGACAAACTGCAGTGACTCAGTCTGAATAAAGAAAACATGATGAGGATACAAATCTGTTTATAATCAGATGTGTTATTCAACATTGAAATGAATGGGAACAAAAACATGTCTTCTTCAGAAAGTCAACTTTATCCTGTAAAACTAATATTACTTCAGATGAACTTTATTCAGACGTTATCGTTTACTAAATATTAAAAACATAGATTTACTTTTCACAACTAACATCTATTACAGTTCCTTTAAGAATCAGTCAACATTTATCTCTGCAGTTCTTACTTTAGTACCTACAAATGAAAGTATGAATAAAAGAACATTTACAACTTAATAGATGTAAGTTAATTATGTAGAAGAATCAGGTTGAATAACTAATGAAACATGAGATCTCCAGCAGTAACAGAGAGTCAGTGAACTGACCTGAGAGCCTGCAGTCTGCAGTCTGGACTCTCCAGAAGATCTCTCAGCAGCTCCACTCCTGAATCCTGCAGATCGTTGTGACTCAGGTCCAGATCTCTCAGATGGATGTTGGACTTCAGAGCTGAGATCAGAGCAGAACAGCTGATCTCTGACAAACTGCAGCTCATCAGACTGAATAAAGAAAACATGATGTAACTTTAGAAAACAAAGTTCCTGTTTGAAATAACTCCAGGTTTAATAATCTGTTCAGAGTTAAACAGGGTTTTAAAGAAATCCCACACATCCCTCTGTTTCATCTGTTAGAGAAGAGCAGGTTCGGGTCCTTAGCTTGAAAAAAAAAAAGGAGGTGGAGCTAATGCCTGATCAGAATTCTACCAGCAGAAACTCAGCTAAATGCTGCCGTGATTAAACTCCATATCATGTTCCAAACCACATCAAGGATTATATCTGAAACAGCATGGAGCTCAAACTCTTTCTCTCTCTCAGGTTTACCACAAGGTGAGTTCCTTCTTATTTCCTGCTTCTTCACACATGCTCTCTCCAGTACAGGTTAGCTCTGAGTGTTAGCATGCTAATGTAAACACAGACCATATTACTTCCAGAACACGTCTCATTGTTTCTGACAGCAACATTTCTGATTGGCCCGTTGGTGTAAAGCCCGCCCACAATTTAGTAATGCCGTCATGACGCAGCAAATCTGGATCAGCTCCGTTGTTCCCCCGTTTTTAGAGATGTGGGTACGGAGGAAAAGAGAGAGGGTTTTGTTTCCTGACACTTTGTGAGTCTCCTGACACCGGGGACACACCGAGGACACACCGGGGACACATGGGGACACACCGGGGACACACCGGGGACACATAGGGACACACCGGGGACACATAGGGACACACCGGGGACACATAGGGACACACCGGGGACACATAGGGACACACCGGGGACACATAGGGACACATAGGGGACACATAGGGACACACCGGGGACACATAGGGACACACAGGGACACACCGGGGACACATAGGGACACACAGGGACACACCGGGGACACATAGGGACACACCGGGGACACATAATGATGTAGAAAAGACATCAGAAAGTGACTTTTGCATGATAGCAGACCTTTAATCTCAGAGATGATGTAGAAACAATCCATTGATAATCTGGAACTTTAACTTTGATCAGATGTTGAACAACTCCTTCATCTCCCTCACAGCTCATCAGTACTGACAGCATCTCCACTGACTCATGGAGCACAGAGTGAGTCTGTGGAAGCTCAAACTCTCTCCCTCACACATTCACCTTCTCTTTGTTACTCTGATCAATATTCAGTCATTAGCAAAAGTGGAAAAAAAACATTAATGTCTTTTTTTCAAATTCAGAAAATGATAACTACAAACAGATGAAGTTCAGTCAGTGAACTGACCTGAGAGCCTCCAGTCTGCAGTTTGGACTCTTTAGTCCAGAGCTCAGCTCCACTCCTGAATCCTGCAGATCGTTGTCACTCAGGTCCAGATATCTCAGATGAGAGGGCTCAGACTTCAGAGCTGAGGCCACGACTTCACAGTGAGTCTCTGAGAGTCTACAGCCACCAAGTCTATAATAACACATAAATTACAACATGTGTTAAAAAAAGAGGAAACATAATGACCTCAAGCATTTGATGAAAAACATATTTGAGATGTTCTGATTGAGATTTGCTGTTAGTCCATTTTAATAATATATGATAAGAGAGTGTAATGTGTGTCAATGTGATCTGATCACATGTCTGTGCTCCTGCTGTCACTGACTGTTACCATAGAAACAGAAATTAAATAAATCACTTGACAATATTAGAGATGTACATATTTAAATGTTAATTAATATTTAGATGTGAATGATGGATGTTTTGGTTTCTCTGAGCATCTGGAAATGTATTGTGCACACAAACACAGTTAACAAACCAATAAAGTTTCAATATTTTAACCTGAATACCATCAGATGTTCTCACTATATGAGTATTAAGACATAACTCTGGTATTGGTGGGATCTGATATAGATCTTATTTTAAACTCTAACACATTGTGATAAAAACGTGTGTGTGTTTAATGATAAAGAAACTACTAGAAAGTAATAATAACTGATAACTGTAAGTCCTGCTGTGTGGTGTGATCACATGCTGAGAAACCTCTAGAGTCCTTCATGTGTTTGACATGTCGCCTCCATCACTCAATATGAAGAGAGAAACGCTTCAGTTTAACTATTATTATAAATAAATAGAAGAACAGTGTTGGTTTATTTTGCTCTCAGTATTTAAACAGCAGAAATGTTATAGTGTTTATTTGAATAATTAAACTCCTGATCCACATTAGTTTATAAAGTTAATCACATCTGGACTTACTTGGCCTTCCTGCAGTTCCTCACAGCTGGAATCAGTCTCTGTTTCCCCTTATCTGATGTTTTGTACTTCTTCAGGTCCAACTCATCCAGAACCTCCTCTGACATCTGCAGCATGTAGGCCAGAGCAGAGCAGTGGATCACAGAGAGTTTCTTCTCTGATCTGTTCTCTGACTTCAGGAACTCTGTGATCTCCTGATGTACTGAGTGGTCCTTCATCTCTGTCAGACAGTGGAAGATGTTGATGGTCCTGTCAGGAGAGATATCATCACTGCTCATCTTCTTCAGGTTGCTGATGGCTCTCTGGATGTCTGTGCGACCCAGCAGGCCTCCTAAGAGTCTCTTGATGGTTTTTGGACGCTTGTCTGTGCGACCCAGCAGGCCTCCTAACAGTCTCTGGTTGGACTCCAGAGAGAGGCCGTGGAGAAAGCGGACAAACAGGTCCAGATGGCCATTTTCACTTCTGAGGGATTTCGCCATGGCTCCCTTTAGGAAGACATCCAGGGATGGGTAATCCTGATCACTGTTTTTACTGTTCTCATAGTCCCAGTCTCCCTGCAGGAAGTCCTTCAGTACCGCTGTGTTCCTGTTGGTGTAACAGTGCAACATGTAGACTGGCAGCCAGAAACCTCCTGAATGCTCAGATGAACAAAGCAGTAGACTGTTTTCTCAAAGATCACTCTCTCTCTTTTGAAGATCTCTGTACAAACTCCTGAGTGCACCAAGGCCTCGGTGACACCAAGACCACAGCGCTGCAGGTCTTCTTGGTAGAACATGATGTCTCCTTTCTCCAGATGTTCAAACGCCAGCCTCCCCAGCTTCAGAAGAAGCTCCCTGTCAGCCTCCGTCAGCTGCTGTGGACTCGTCTCATGTCCCGCTTCATACTTCTGCTTCTTCCTCTTGGTCTGGACCAGCAGGAAGTGTGAGTACATGTCAGTGAGGGTCTGGGGCAGCTCTCCTCTCTGGTCTGTAGTCAACATGTGGTCCAGAACTGCAGCAGTGATCCAGCAGAAGACTGGGATCAGACACATGATGTGGAGGCTCCTGGAGCTCTTGATGTGAGAGATGATTCTGCTGGACAGGTCTTCATCACTCGATCTCCTCCTGAAGTACTCCTCCTTCTGGGCGTCAGTGAAGCCTCGTACTTCTGTTACCCTGTCCACACACTCAGGAGGGATCTGATTGGCCGCTGCAGGTCTGGAAGTTATCCAGACGAGAGCCGAGGGAAGCAGCTTCCCCCTGATGAGGTTTGTCAGCAGCACGTTGACTGAGGACTGCTGTGAGACATCAGACACAACCTCATTGTTTCTGAAGTCCAGAGAAAGTCTGCTTTCATCCAGGCCGTCAAAGATGAGCAGCACTTTGCAGACAGCCAGCTGCTCTGCTGTGACCTTCTGTAAGGTCGGATGGAAAACATGGAGCAGCCTGAGAAGACTGTACTGCTCACCTTTGATCAGGTTCAGCTCCCTGAAGGAGAGCGGGATCACCAGAGTGACATCTTGGTTTCCCAAACCCTCGGCCCAGTCCAGAGTGAACTTCTGCACTGAGAAGGTTTTTCCAACTCCAGCGACTCCGTTGGTCAGGACCGCTCTGATGAGAGTCTGTTGGTCAGGTAAGGCTTTAAAGATGTCCTGGCACTTGATTGGAGAGTCATGGAGGGTCTCTTTCTTGGAAGCTGCCTCCAGCTGCCTCACCTCATGTTGGGTATTAACCTCTTCACTCTGGCCTTGTGTGATGTAGAGCTCAGTGAAGATCCTGTTGAGGAGGGTTTCACTTTCATCAGTTCCTTCAGTCACACGTTCACATCTCCTCCTCAGACTGAGCCTATGTTCATCTAAAACCTCCTGCAGACCACTCTCTGCTGGAAGAGAAGGAAACAGGAGAGAATCAGAAAATGCTTTTGAGAATATAACAATAAAACTAATAAAAACAGACTGAGTTTAAATGTTTTATACACATTTTAATGTCTATGTTCTTCAACAGAATACCTAATAAACAAAACAAATGAACCAGGAAGAGGAATAATACGCTGCATGAGTTCGGCCTCTTACCTCGTACAGAGCTGGTCTGACTGGCTGTCTGCAGGCCAGCTCTGGTTCTGGATCTTTCTCCACACTGGGGACAGCAGGGGTCTCCTGATGGAGGTCTCTGCTCCCAGTATGAGGTGATGCACTGTCTGCAGAACCAGTGTCCACAGCTGGTAGAGACTGGATCCTTCAGGACGTCCTGACACAGAGCACAGCTGGACAGCTGCTCCTCCACAGGAACAGGACTCTTCCTCTTCCCTCTGTGGAGAGGAACACATCCTTTATAGCACTTTACTTCAGAGGGGCTGATTCTCACCAAAGGTACAACAAGGGGGCACATTCTAGTTTGATATTTAAAAAAGGTCTATATAATATATACCCTTGTGATCAGGTATAGCTTACAATTCACATGATCATAAAACCAAAGAGCATCCTGTCTGGATTCATCCCCCAGAGGAGCACATGTTCCCTGTATCTACACACACAGCTGTATTAACCTGGTGCACTATAAACCCAACTTGCATAGAATCTGCTGTGAATTAATATAAATAAACATATAGAAAGGATGCCTAAATAACAGAATGATACTGATTTGTAAAAAGCCTGAGTTAATGCTTTGTCAGGTCTGTCTCCAACACAACGAGCATAACATTTATTTTCCTTTTTTTTCTGAAGAGATGGGTTTGATTAAAGCTAGGCTAACATTAGCTGCTCCATCAACACTCAGATTAACTTCATGAAGTCATAAGTACAGCAGTCACTATATTGTTAGCACCACAGTCAGTCTCTGGTTATACAGGAACATGAATAACCCTGATTTAATATGAGCTGCTGTCGAGCTCTGTTCTCCTCTCTGATTCCCCTCAGACTGTCAGAGACCCCAGGAGCACAATCTCAACACTGACAGGTTTTTGAAACAGAGCGTCACAAACTTTACACTCAAGTTGAAATGTGTCACTTCCTTCGTGTTGCCAGGCACGGATCTGGGTCTTCGTATTGACTCTACATGTGATTTCACAAAACTCTGTTTTATCTGCTAATGCTAAACACAACCAGCTCACCAGGTTATTACTATTATTAATAAACATCTTAAAAAGACATATCATAGATATGCCCAAGTAGTTAAATAATGTTTTGGACAATATATATCGTTTTTAAATCAGTATTTATCAATATTGTTGCTATTTAAAACCATTGTATACACAGATACAATGATAATATAATTGCATATTGAAATATCCTTAGATAATGTTAGCTTGCTCTGCTGCGTTTTTCCTTTACAAACTGCTCACATGATTTCATTAAAGAACAGTTTAATATATTAGATTACATCAAACTGGATCCTCTTCAGGTCAGTTTACAGGAGAGACTCTTACTTTGTGTCTGAGGGTCCAGGTTCATTACTGAAGCCTGGAGGATGATCTTTAGACCGGTCACTCTTCAGAGACCACATGGAGACCGTAGACCCTGCTCTCTGTCTGTGGAACAACACATGTTTAAACATTAGTTCATTTAAAGAGCAGCTTTTGATCTATGACTGTTCACCTTATGAAAGATCTTTAGAGTTGTTGAGTCGTGATTGTGGGTTTCTGTTGTTCAAATTCATTCGAGTGTGAACGTTTACATATTTGCATTTTATTTGCTTAATTTAACACAAAGTCCAACATGTAGAGTGTGAGGATGATTTCACTAGTAGATTATTTACTATTGCTGATGATGACAAGAAGCAAGAGGTTAGGGCTGTGCAATTAATCATATTTTAATCGCAATTACGATTTTGGCCTGCCACAATTACGAAAACAACATAATTGAAAAAAACGATTATTTTGCTTTGCTTGGTTGTGACAGTGCACTATTTATCATATTTATATTTGTTTAGTAGCTTGTTGAAGTGCGCTTCCAAAATATTTGTTGATCTTGTTTATTGGTATTTATTATTTTGACATTATTTATTTAAATGTAAATATAAATGTATCATTTATTTAATTTATTTTTGTATTGGTTTTTCAGTTGAATTATATGCTCAGGGAAATCAACAGTTAAAAAGATACTGTTCAAATTATTATTTGTATTTAAAAGTTCAATAAATGGATGTTTTCAAAGTCAATGAATAATCGTATTTAATAATCGTGATATCAATTATTGACAAAAATAATCGTGATTATGATTTTTGCCATAATCGCACAGCCCTACAAGAGGTCAATTCAACTTTGTTAATGTACTCTACTGGGTTTCATTAAACAGTTTAGGTTATCAGATACCAACAAACTGGATCCTCTGCAGGTCAGGTTACAGTGGAGACTCTTACTTTGTGTCTGAGGGTCCAGGTTCATTACTGAAGAGTGGAGGTCTCTCCATAGACCGGTCACTCTTCAGAGACAGACCGCTGGAGACTGAAGATTTGTCCTCTTCATCACTCATCTTCTCCAGTCTGAGAGATACACACACACACACACACACACACACACACACACACACACACACACACACACACACACACACACACACACACACACACACACACACACACACACACACACACACCACACACACACACACACACACACACACACACACACACACACCACACACCACACACACACACACACACACACACACACACACACTCACACACACACACACTCACACACACACACACACAGGTCAGTGTTAACTATTCCTAACCAGGAAACCTTGAACCCCAACCGTAATTTCAAATTTGATTTTCTTTGCACACACATTTTGACTGCGCTGGGCTGTCACATGTTATGTAACTCTGATGAAACTCTCAGAAAACAGGAAGTAATAAAAGTGTACAACACTTCCAGAAGTCTCATTGGACTCTAGGACGCAGATTGTTAACCAATAAGTTATTTTCTGACATCCAGTTTGACAGAGTAAATAATGAATGTGTTATTAAAAAGCAGATCCTGGCGTTAACACTCACCCTGTTGTTCTCCTCCTGACGAGCTGTAAAATGGCGTCTGGCAGTCTGACTTCCTACTTTCAACTTCCCTCACTGTCTGCAGCTCCTCCCTCTGATTCATAACCAGCCTCGCCAGCTGAAGCAGTTCACACCTTTATATATACAGTCTATGGTTCACACACAGGGACTTTGTTCAGTGAGATAGAAAAAGACATGCAGCTAAAAACAAGCTCCACAAAGTTATCAAAAGACGACACAACATCCACACATCAGCGTCCATAGGATATCTGCTTTATATAACAAACAATGAACAGCGACTTAAATAAAAACACAAGGCTAAATTTAGCTAATTTACAAGATGTGCCAAAATCAGGGCTGAAATAGAGATTTCACCTCTAGCAAGTGTTTTAAATAGGAGGAAAAGTGTTTTAAATAGGGGCAGAGAAAAATGAGAGAATCAGGCTGCTTTTTTAAAAGTGAGAAAAAACTATTTTAAATGGCTTAAAAAGCACTAAGTGATTTAAGTGCAGTTCCATGTTTCCCCACAGAAGGGCTCCAGGGAGCGCATCACCCAACATGAGCACAGTGCATTAACAGTAGAAAATACAATTAAAAAAAGGCAAATCAATTGATTTAAAGTGCAGGGAGGCTCCGCACCAGACACAGGTACATTCCTACATCCCCACAATAGTGACACTGATGGTTTAAAGTCGTTTCTGCGGGGAAAATAGTGCTAAAAGTCTGATAACAGTGTCTGTGGTAAAAGTCTGATTGTTTCAGAGACCCATTGTAATGATACAATAAACCATTTACATCTAAAAGTATTGATTACAATTCATTTTTATGGGAAAAGTGCAGATGAGGTATTTTTGGTATTTTGGGCAAAACACTTCACCCAACCCTGTATATATATATATGCCGTTAAAAACTGCAATATATACCTGGCTGCTAAATCCTTAGAACTGTTACAGGATGTGTATTTTGTAAATTGTATAACTTTTTTTAACTTTAAATACTTTTTTTTCATGTAACTATGTAACCGCGTTCACACCAAGTACTTTCCTGTACTTAGTTCCGGCACTAAGTGCCCCGGCGCTTTTAACCCCAGGGCACTTAGTACAGATCGCGTTCACACCGGAGTACTTTTCCCTGAGGGAAGATTACGCAAATGAGCCGCTGACGCCACTTCTTCTTCTGCTTTGGCTTTACTGGCAGGCCACAAACCACTTCACGGCGAGTACAGTAGGTGGCGGTATGCACCTTAAAGTTGTTTGCAATCCGCTGCAAAACAAGAGAAGAAGAAGAAGAAAAACTTTCCCGCGTATACTGCGACGCCCACCCACTCGCTGTACATTAGGCGTCTGTTGTTTACCTTCCGACCTCAGACATGATGGAGATGGAGTCGACTGAAGTTGTGCTGTTTGTGCTCATGTTATACAGCTTTGTAACTGAGTTTAAGCAGCCTGAGCAACTTGCGTACAATAACAAAACAAGCCGAGCACGAGTGGTGGTGGAGAACGCTTTTGGCAGACTGAAGGGCAGGTGGGCGGTGCTTGATGAAAAGAAACGACTGCAAGATGGACAAGATCAAAAGCCAGGTGGCAGCATGTTGCATATTACATAACCTTTGTGAAAGTAATGAGTACAGGGACGAATGCCTTACCGGCGACCCAGCTTTATGAGGCATCTGAACAGCGTGTAAATTGTAAACATTTTGACAATAAAGCTGATCTTTTGTAGTGCTTTTGTTTCTCTTTTATTTTCCAGTCAAGACAGGCAACATTACAATAGTGTACAGTGTGGCAATATAATAACAATAAACTGTGCCAGGTGTGTTGTATGCACAGTAAATAGGCTCAGCAGCAAACCCACCGTTATTATTTATCTTCCTGAGACCCACTGCATCCGTCTGCCATAAACACTATGGAAACATACATGTTAGTTTCGGCCCATAGTGGACTCCATTTTGTGTTGTGTAAAATGGGGGGGGGGAATTAAAGGTTTGCAAATCCCCATGTCCTCCTCAGAGGACAATCAATAAAACATTTAGTTTTAGGTCAAATAATATTTAAAATGATATAAATTATCATATTTGTGTATGTGCCCCTGCCATTCCTCACAAGGTTGCAACATTGATGATAAATAAATGACAAATAAAGCTTTGCCAGTTTATAACCGATGAAACATGATGGTATCAGAATAATCACTTACATGTGATGTATAGGATGCTACGGTCACTAAAGATACAGGTGTCAGGAGAAATAAGCAAGCTACAGGATCTGTAAATAGAAGTTCACATTTTTATGTAAATAAAATAGAAGTTGTACATGTAAATTAACATTATCAATATAAAATAAAGTGTCAGTTGTATCAAGACTATATAATAACAGTAATAACAATAATATAAATCGAGGTGAGCATCTTGTCCTCCGTTTCCTGGGCCTTGGTGAACTGCACCATCTGATCTCCACGCAGCGACTCATTCACCACGGCACGCCGGTCCTCCAACGCCTGGACGGTCTCAAAGAAAAGTGCATCCTGTGTCCACTTTCCTAAGAGGGGAAAATAAGCAAGATACAAGATCAACAACCAGAGACAATACATCATGTATTTTTTAGCTGCCTGGATTATAACAGACAAAGACTCATTCTGAAAACTGCACTGGAACAACCTCAACATCAAGGACATGGATTTCAAGTCAATATAATGAAAGTAAATCAAGAAATGAAGCAAACAAGCTGATCTTCAAATTCTTCAAAAGCACTGGTCTGAGGACAAGGAATTTAATAAAAAACATTTAATAAATCAACAGTAGGTGGCGATATATGCTCCAAGTGGAAGCGATTTCTTACCGGAAGTCATGTGACCTCTAGCCCGGATGTTTACAATGTTTGTGAGAGAGAGGTAAAAAGGCGCGTTAATACGTTTTCACGCTGTTTTCATAATTGTACCAAGAAGGAAATAAACATGATTGTGAACATCAGTTCCATGCGTAACGTTCTTTCAAGACAAAGTTACAGTGTGTGTACCTTTGCGTTTGGTTGCTGGTAAGGGAGACGAGCAAGCGCTTTGATCTTCAAGGCAAAGCTCGCTTGTTTCCAATCCCGAGGTTGATGATTTTCCTCGCCTGAAACACACGATTAGTGCCATGAGTTAGTGAAGCAAATTACAGAAACACTGCACAGTTATTCACAAGTCAAAACGTTTTCATAGCGGCCGAGAATATCTAGCTAGCTAGATGTTATTAGCCAGCTCGGGGCCAGTGTTAGCTAGTTCAGGCCTAGCATGGCTAGCTTGATCTACTGAGCAAATAAAAGTACATCTGAGCGGCCTCCAATACCATACTGCCCGACTCAAGGCTCGATGCTGTACCGGAGAATGATGGTCTGTGGCTTAGCAAAGCATCCAAGCGGTCGTACCATTTACTGGTCTTCCGGTCGTTACCACTTTTATTATTCCAGTCTTTAATTTGTTTGTAGTCCTGCCGGAGTTTCTTTATTTTTAAGCCGGCATGCCATGGCGCTGTGCAAGATTCCCATCTCAAGCAACTTCTTCGAACAACGATCGAACATCTTCGAGTTGGGTACTGGCTTCAGCAGCATTCCCTGGGTCGCGTCCTCGGTTAGATGTCCAGAAGCGCTGATACCTCCTCATCACTCCATCGCTTCGATGATTTCCTGATGTTTGCCATAACTGCGTTAAAAAAAAAAAAACGTCGGTACGCTGGGTTTTTGTAGCGAGGAAAAACAATGGCGGCTCTACACAACATTTTCACAGTTGTACGGGGCGTGGTTTGCAATTCGCCCAGCCAATCAGCACTGGGGCACTTTTCACCCACAGGAAAGTACGATCTCTCAGCGGGCTCTAAAAATGGGGGTAAAAGTTCCCGAGATTAAGTACGATTTTTGGTGTGAACGCGACATAAGTGGTACTAACGGAACTAAACGCGAAAAGTACGGTGAAAAGTACTCCGGTGTGAACGCGGCTATTAAGCTGTCAGTGGCTCTTTTCTGCTGTAACAACGTGCATGTCCCCTCTGTGGGACTAATAAAGGTTTTCTGATTCTGATCTGATTCTGAACTACGATGCTCAACAGCTCGCTTAACGGAACTTTGACGCTGGTATCAGTTTGGTTTCCCAACAATCACGGGAGTATTGTGTATAGAAAGTGTTGAGTTATATTTCTCGCGCTACCTTACATCCATGAAGGCAACATGACAGAGGGAGGGCTGTCACTCAGGATGCAAAACTACTCTTTGGTAAGCCCCGCCCCCCCCAAGCAACATCAGGGCCAAAAGTTTGAAAGCGAAAAAAACGGTGAAACCTGAAAAAACAAGATTTGAAACTGAAAAAATAATTGTTTGGAATCTGAAAACGGAAAATCTGCAACTGAAAAAAAGAAGGATTCAAATATCAAAATATGTATAAAAGGAGTGGAGCTGTCTTTTTATGAAAGTAATTAAGCTCGCTCCGACTTCTTTCTCTTTTTTTTATCGAAAAAAGCGAACTATTCAGTCAGACAGCAATTTATTATAAAAGTAAAACAAGTGCAATTTCAAGTACTTTATCCAAAATCCAAGCACTTTATCCAAAATCCAAGCACTTTTCAAACCTTGAAAACACCACATGAAATTTCAAGCATTTCAAGGATTTCCAGCACCGTACGAACCCTGAAGATTAGTTTAAATTACCAGCCTCAAGAAACTTGGTGGAATAATGAGCAAAGCAAATATTCATTAGTTTCTGTGCAGATCTGAACCACAGGGCAAACAAACTAAGTGTTTTCACTTTCATCAACATTGTGTGATTTGGAAGTGTTGATGAGGAGATGACACCGATACCATTACACACTTTGACAAAATCAACAATATTGTTATTGTATCGTAGATTCAAAACCACATTTTTTGTCCCCCTACACTTCCTCTGTCCCTCGCTCTTTATGTCTCACAAACACACTTTAGCATTCCTGAAATGTATGGAGGACGGAACATGACTTAAGTATAAATAAATAAATAAATGTAAATAAATGTATGCAGAATACAGGAATAATAAATAAATACGTAAATAAATAAATACAGGAATAAATAAATACAGGAATA